CTCATGCAGTATCTACTATTGCAAATATGTAAGTTTTCACAACGCAAGTAAATATTCCAGTTCATTTACTACTTTACTAGGCAATATCTCGTTCTTCCAACAATATGTTTAAAGTGCGCTTCGAAACCTCAGAGCCTCACTGCAATGGCAATAAGTGTACGAAGACAGATGAGGTTTTTCTTCACAATAAAGTTGAGTCTTCGGAGCGCAGTTTATATTGAATGAACTCGGAAACTCGACGCCCCAAGACCGCTAAGCTTCGCGACGATTTTATATACTCTTGATGTGAATTTTCAGAGATAGCAATAAAAAGTCGCGGTTTTTATTTCTACATTGTAAAAAGTTTACGACTTTTGCCACTAAGAGGTGTTTGTATTATATGAGTCTACGGAGACCCGACAAATGAGGTTTTATATGATGTAGTTAATGGTGACGCAGTAATAAATTTTTTAATAATTATTTTTCACTATAGTAACTTGTGTTATGGCTGTGCTGAATTTTATTTCTTGTAAAAAACATTGTGGAAAATTGTCTTAGTATGAGCATTATGATTGGATGTATGGTACTTTACGATGGATAACTAGGACGTCGTTATAACTCACACACATATTACATTGTTGTTCTTTCGTCTGTGATGGATATTTACAGGACAACGAGTTTTCGCCAGGCACATTTTAATTATTGTATGTAGGTAAGCCTAAAAACAAAAACATTATGGGTAGTTTCAGGATTAACTTATTTTTTTAGTTTTACCCTAAAACGAATAAATAGTGTGTTGTTTAAGGATGTCTGTTTTCGATTTTTTTATACCTACTTGATATGTGTAGGTACATTAAGGTTATGTTTATTCCACATATACATTTATAATACGTATATCTATCTCTTCAAAGAAATACAACTAGGTGTGTAAGTACCTCTATGTCACATGACACCACAATTCTAGGAAAACATCCGTATATGTAACGTGTAGGAAACTATAACATGTCATCAATGAAAATGAGTTGGCATAAAAAGTTATGAATGAACAGTTTCAAAGCGATTAAATATAGGGAGGAGTGGTGTTAACGTGAATTGACCTTAGTTTACTGAATGCTCGACTTGCACTTTCATTATACCAGGTCAATAAAGTAGCGTAGGCTGAAAAATATATACAAAGTTACTTGTAAAAGTCGTAAAACTAAAATAATTCGAGCGTAGGCGAAATGCCAACTCTTCAACGTTTATTCGATATTTTATTCAATTCAATAGCTCGATTTTATTAATAAAGTAATTCGTACAATGGAGTTCAGTTGTTTTATTTTGTTTTAAAAGTAAGAACAACAATGCCTTTTTATATAAAAACCATTCAGGCTGTTCTGTTAAGAACAGAGAGTTTCCGTTTTCGATAGTTAAATGTGGTAATACACAAAATATTGGTAAATACGGCTCTAATTTGCGCCTTTACGTATGATTTGAGCTCTTGTTTTTTCTTTCCAACATTAAATTGAACAAGTCACTTTCCGTTCCCATATCTCTTTGTGATTTTGATGAGTGTTTTTAAAATATACTTAGAGGGATTGAAGAGGAAGGTTGATATGTATAATAACATTAATTAAATAGTGGACTAATTAAGTATCAGCATTGCACCCGTGCATAACAGGGCTGTGTGATTAGTTTTAAATGAAGACCACTAGAACCTCTCCTTTGACACATACCAAACATTTTCTAGTGTTCTATAAATTTTCAATTTACACTTGAGCGTTATAAATAGATTAGATTTAGGCGTTAATCTATGCAAACCTGAATAATCTAGACGAAAATCGAAATTAGTCTGAAACTCACAAGATTGGAATTTCGTTTTACAATGAAACATTGAACGGAATCTGTAAACTATGTGATTTGTATCTACTTAGACACTTTTGTCTTTAAGGTCTAAAATTGATAAGTTACTTTTAGCTTTTTATTTAGGCGCATGTAAAGTTCACTGAAGCTTTAGTCAATAGAAATTCTATCTTAGTAACTGCATTGTTGCTGTATTGCGGTACAAAATGCTTCGAGAAGCAAGTGAAATGACGTGACATGTGTGCAGAATGTGTTCCCACGTGGGATCGAGTTTTCGAAAGGCTAAAACGCTCTCCGCCTTCGCTAAATGTAGCGAGCCTACTGGGAGTCTATTTTTTGGAGACATGTTCTTACTGTCCCTGAAGGGTTAGATAAAGGAATGCCTATATTCTCTTTTAAGTCTAAATTTGGAGTAGGTTATATAAAATTGATTCCACCACATTGATATATTATCAATGACGATTAATTGTAAGTAAGTTGTTTCTCGAATAAGTGACTAACGAGTTACCAGTTGTGTACAACGGTATAGCAGTTTTTTTTAAGAAAAAAAAAAAACTTTGCCCCATGTTATGGTTTTCTCCTGTGTCGTAGGTACAAGCTTACAATTTCACATACACATGTTTCAATAGCGGTCTTAGCTAAGAAGGAGTACATTTAGCATTTCGAGTGGCAAATTATCGTATATCGTCTCCCGCCTTGTGTGGGACGAATTGGAACGTCAGACTCTTACTAACTAAAATCATCCTGTTCCTTCTCCTAAACTGGATCAGGATCAAAGTGCATTATTGTGCTTGCTGCAACTCCACCTGAATATCTGCCCTCATGGGTTTCATGGCATCTTAAATGAAAAGTTCACAATAATCTAATTAGCTTTTGCTTAAATCTTTACTTGAATTATTCTTATTTATTTATTTAATATTTTATGTGCAGATTACGTTAGACAAGAACAATAATATAACAATTAGGTACAAAGGCACAGCTTATTTATTCTCAGGTTGATTTTATATGATAGGAAAACCTATATTTCAAGGCTGGCTTTTTATGAGAAAGAACCTAATATTTTAAGAAAATATGCAGAAATATCACTTTGTTATAATATGATGTTTCTAGCTTCCAAGGCTCGCATAAACTATTCACTATATCTCCGAGCATAAGTCTCTTGTCTGATATGAGGTAATAAGCTTTCCTCTTATTACACGTGGCTTATTATATATAAATAAAACTTTATGTATTTCCTTTATACATATATAATGTTACCCTTTCTATTCCCAAAAGGTGTAGGTAGAGATAATCATAATTTAATATTTGAAAATTGGGAGTCTACTAGTTTTTTAAATGATACTTTAATTTCTTTGTGTCGTTCTGAACAAGTGCTCTGTGCCAAATTTTATCAAAATCTATTCAGTAGTTTTTAATAGAAGACGTTACAAACTGTCATCCATATATCGATACAAAAACTTTGGAATCTATAACAGGTAATGCGATTCTATAGCGTGTCCATTAGTCGGAAAAGGATTTATTTACCTGAGTCTTAGATCAAACTTGACATCCATTGCCAGTCAGTGCTATTGCAAAGACTCGACCAATGATTCAGACACAATAATAATATATTATGTGAAGTTGCAGCCGATTTGTTAATAATCATTTATTAAATGGCCTAGCTTATTAATTAAATGTTATGGCAATAAAATTCAGGAGGTTGTTTATTTTTGACGGCATTCGATTTATGTGTAGGTCGAGGTTCTAACTTTGCCCAATATACCATTCTGGTTTCTGAGCTCAGGCAGTTAGTTGAATGGTTGATTGAATTTGTTGGCGGCGACATATATGTCTTAACTAACCACTTGAGAGATCATACGCCTCACATATATATTATGTGTACTTATGTATGTATGTAGTGTAAACTGAGTGACTTGTCTCAAGTGGTCATTCGATCGATGGCTGAGTAGTATTATTCTTGGATTATGAAATCTCAATAGTTATATTGAGTTTTAAAATTTGTTCTGTTTGAGAATTTGCTGTCAAATCAAAACAGACCGACCACTCAGGGTTTCAAGTCTTGCACTTACATTAAGAACGATACCAACGATGGACCGACTTTAACTTCAAGTTTTAGGACGTATACATTGTGTGTGGTGTCTATTTTGTTAAATACGGTAAATATATATCCGTAACTCTAGGGTCACTTCGAGAAACTTATTAACGCGTTAAGCGCCATGGGGGTCACCGGTTACCCCCGTTAGCGGAGGATTTTCCTTCAACAGTTTTCTGTCGGCAGTCAAAGGCTTAAGTAATAAGTCTCCGTCCTTCTGTTCGTCTGTCTGTCTTTTACCAGGCTGTCATGTACTTTTAGAGCTAGACAGTTGAATAAGAATACGCACACTGCTTATGAATAAGAGTCCCGTTGTAACTTGAAATTAGAAGAGCTTTATCACGTGAGAGGGTTGTTACAAAATAAATTAATAAAATATAATATCACATCAAAATGCGTATCGCGTATTAAATTTTTGATACTTTATAAGTTTTTAACAATATTATATTAATTCCACATATTCCTTATTTCCAGGATGCTGAGTTACGTCGAAATTGTATTTAAATTTTAATGCTGTACATGGAATAAAATTACGTTATAAGCATAAAATAAAACTTTTTATTTTACACACTGCATATTTTGTTTAAATTATGTTACATATTTCAACTGAATTTATTAGTATTATTTTTTCTCAGAATACTGTGACTGTGTATACATTATAAATTTTTAAATATTTTTATTAATAGTGTTTTCTCAATTATGTTATACATGGCAGCCCATGAGTCACATAATTTATTCATCTTTACTTTAAATTCTAAACTATGTGTAAACAAAAACTAAGTAAAATGATCGCGCGGAAAAATATAAATAAAGAATTTATGAAAAAACAATTAAGAGCTTTTGAGAATATGGTGGACACAACAAATTAGTTCTTGGTAGATGCAACAAAAAAAAGCACAATCAGATCTGGAGGCAATACAAGATATCCGATGAACTTGCTAAAAACTTAGGGAGAAGGAGGATAGGGAGAAGATGAAGAGGGTTATTTAATTCAGACTTTATAGATTTTAAATCGTATGCATTAAAATAAATTATGAACCTTATATTCAAAGAAATAAAACTCAAGTCATTTATAAGTTTAACTCACCGAGGCAGCAGAAGGCTCTGTCTCATGATGGTAGGTAGAATGGTGTCGAATAGTGCCCGCCATGCCGTCTTCACAAACGTCTACATTCCGATATCCCACTTCACGACATTTGTCATACTAAGCCATTTCACCTTTGCAACCACTTTTGACCGTCCATTGTAGCATGTATGCAGCATGTATTTAAGCACTATTTTTCCGTGAAAGATGTTTTTTATTTAGACTACATTGATAAAAGAAATGGTAATAATTATTATTTTTCAAATATTGGTTCTAATGTGCTATAACATAGATATAACTCGCTGCTGATCAATGAAAAAATTAAGCGCCTATTTCATGACTCTCAAATAAGTCCCGGATAAGACAATGAAGAGGACAGTTTATAAAAATTAAGACTGATAAAGTATCCTTACTTATTTAAAACCTAGATAAACACGAACTTGTTAAATTATATTTAACTCAATTTATGCAACTAAGAATTTTCTTAACAAAGGATTAAGAAACCTTATCTCGAGGTATTAAACTTAGTTTTTCAGTAAAGTTTTACTAAGTTGCATTTAATCCTTATTTATAGCGTGCAAGGAGATTTTACTATGAAAGTAGAGGTAGCATTTTAAAGACCAGTTAAGTAAGTCTGGCGTGCCGGCATTAATTCCTCAAATGATCTGAGACTGTGGCTTTTCTTAATTTGTAATTATTCTGAATTTAAATGTAGAGTAATTTATTTAATTTTGTAAATGAAGTTATTCTGAAAAATATAACGTAATCCTTAAACTTTACTAAGCAATTAAATTGTGATATTAAAGTTTAAAACAAAAATATGGTTGTATTTTAATTTAAATAAAATGACAAATTCTAATTCTTGGTTTTTCTATCAATCTTATTTTCTGTTATTGGAGATTTTATGAATGATTATTATTACTGAATGGATAATAGCCTTCTAGTCACGTTTGTATTGGGATAATTACCTTCGAACGGCTTTCTCAATAAATCGTAATTCATTGTTAACGATTCTATATAGAATTTTGAGGCTTAAGATATTATTTATATTGCCAGACGTTGAATAATTATAAATCTTTTGATCTTTCCTGCAACGTTGTTTATTGTATTTAGGTCGATTGTGGAATTATATCATTTTAACATATTTATAATTGATTGAACAATTTTTGCAGTTTGAATATATCAAAATTTTATTGTTAACTTTGAAACTTCTCCTAAATATAAAATAGTTTGAAAAACTTTGAAAGTTTACTGAAAATAATTTTGCAGCTAAATGTAGCACTGCAACAACTCACAAGGTACTATTGTAATCACTTTACAATAGTTAAGATATTCCTACGCTCGTAGCACGTCGTAGCGCTACGGGGCTACGGAGCTACGAGCCGTGCGGGTCCCGGCGTAGCGGCTGGCGCTCGACTGCCGCAGCGTGCGACTGGTCGCTACAACCCGCGCACTCCGCAACATAATGATTGACAAAAAAAACTTTACCTGTATTTTCTTGTGTTTATAAAAGTGAGTTAGTGCTAAGTAACATAAATTAATTATGTATTTTTTACAATGTTTTTTTTGGCTTATTATTTTTGTTTTTTTTTTGCAGATGGTACGAAGGAAGTAAAAGCTTACCACTTCTTTTAAATACTACACAGATTAGTTTATTAGTGATATTTTCACATGTGAATTGCATTTGAAAAAAAATAGTAAATAGGTATTGTTAAGTAGTTAAACTCCTATTTTTAAATGTAAACACAATAATGCATTTTTTTCATATTTTTTTTTTTAAACGTATTATTTCATTACGAAACTCAATGAAAAAAAGAACGACATATAAAATGTGACTTGTAATTATTTTATAGTTCATCAGAAAACTTTTTATATACCTAGAAGTTTTAAGGTTTTTGCATTCAAGACTTGGGATTGCATCCGATCCATGGCTATCTTATAGTATTGATATAACATACGTGATAAAAAGGGGTTGTCACATGTGGATAATGCTGGTAATGGCAAAGCGATCTTAATCCTAAATCTACATAGATGTTTTTTGTCAGAAACTCCATACAACTATTTTACAAAAAAATATTATGGTCATAAAATACTTGAGGTATTATGAAGCTTTCAGAAATCAGGTTTATGGTATGTTTGTCTTTGTTTAGGCCCTGTTTCACCAAGTCTGGATAATATTATGTACCAGATAAATTTGAATATAGAACGCACTTTATATGAACTATGTGCATTTAAGTCTGTTGGGTACTTTCATGAAGATAAAAGAGGCCCTTAATTAATGATTAGATACTAGAAAATAATTTGTACTTATGTATTATTGTGTATGCTCATTGTTAATTATGTACCGAGTAAGCAATGCACCCTCAAAGCAGAATTGTTTGAGCTTAGCTTGAATGTCGAACAAAGCATTGCTAGCTTTGAAATTCAAACGGAATTATTCGATCACATACAATGACAGCATTGGCTGAATGTCTTTGTGTGTGTGTACATGTGTACATATATGTTGGTACTGATTATTGCCTACTTTACAAGAACATTAGATTGTTTTATTTCAATCAATATATCAAGGCGTTAAAGAGTATGTCCTATTCAGGTAGCTCTGATAAATAAATCAAACTGTTAATTTAAATTTTCCATGACACGATCGAATTATTTCATATTAAGAGATAGACCGAAAAAGAACGGAAAATAATTGGTCATAACAATACAAAAAGCATTTCAAATTTTTTTTTAAATTTTTTTAATTTTTATTTTAAGATGAAGCTGTTTCATGTCAGACATGAAATGTGAGATAACTATCATAATTAAAATAAGAAATATTAGAAATAAAATTCAAACATTCTTTGTTTCTGATAGTAATGACGTTAATAATTAAATCGAAATATTAAGTTGAAATATTTATTTGAACTAAAACGAATGAAAACTCTTTTTTAAGAACTCTTATCATTATATTCGAAAAATAAAAATGAACATTGTTTTAATATTTTAAATGTTTATTTCTCTATAATAAAACAGAATTCTCGAAACATATTAAACTGTACAAATGAATACAATGCCCTTTGTAAACGTATAGAAAATTTCAATGAAATCCGTCACAAGTGAAAAGAGAAAATATTCCTTCGTGAAATATAGAGAGTGCAGTAAAGTGTAAAAATAGTTTTCATAGCTTGCAAAGGTAAAATAGATACAAGAACTTACGTTCGTCCGTCGATAAAATAAAACATGAGCTCGTGTAAAACGATACTTGGAACTCTAAGTGGTGCTATTTATATACCATTTCTGCCTCTCTTAAAGGGTCTATCGGAAGCGTATTAAATAACAAGGATTTAAGTTTTAATTAATACTCTTTTATCCAATGGAATAGAGTTGAACAAAAAAATGACACCATTTTTGTATAAACTAAATGTTTATTTTTATAAAAAAATATTTGCACATAAAAACAATTCGTAAATATAGAGGAATAGACCAAATTCAAGGTTTAAAACTCGGCCTAAATGTTACTAGAGTGATTATAATTTGAAGACTATTTAATAGAGTTAATTAAAAGTTTGGCACAGAGTTAATTACAATAAAATGAACATTTAAATGTTACATCTTAGTTCGTGGTACTGATGTAAGTTCATAAATGTGAAATAATTAGTGCTTGCTCGTCTCAGTTCGTGTGGAGATTAGCAAATGTTGAACCATTTCAGTATACAACTATTATGTTCCACAGATATTGGAAGTGGAGTACTAAGACATGTATATTAATCTAGGAAACTTACTACAGAACATAATACTATACAGTACATATATATACCTACATTGTAGCTACCGTGTATATCAATAATATTAAATATTCATATGACAGAATCGTGTCTTGTTCCCTACACGTGACATAACTTCACTACAAATCGTATATTATCTAAGTGTACATATAATAAAAAAGAAACAAATATGTGTTTGTTTGTACATGTTTGTTTTGTCACATATTTCCCAATGTGACAAAATTGGGGTTGGTTCAATCCTATTAATGTGAAAGTTAGTGAGAATGTCCGGATGTAGGTTTGAAATGTTTGTTATTCTTTCACGCAAATTTGGCTTCACTGATTTTGTTCAAATTTGGTAAGTAGATGGGTGACATCCTGGTTTAATATATATATATATACATATACATATATATACATACACATATATATACATACATATATATATACATACATACATATACATACATATATATATATACATATACATATATATATATACATATATATATATATAGGCTTTTTATATACCACGCGGGCAGAGGACGGAGTTGAAGAACTAAAATCTACTTTTTCGTGACCGATACATATTTTTTTGCGAAACATATAGGGAATAATTTGATTTCGAATTTGGAATAAAACATCTTGCTTAAACTGCTAACCGACGCGGACGAAGTCGCGCTCAGAAACATATGCATGGTAAAATTTGTATGTAGGGGGTAATCTATGGAACCGCTAGTCGTATTTCAAAATTATTTCACTGATAAATAGCTACAATGTTTCTGAATGCTATAAGTTAGTTATACTTGATTTGCGTATTTTAGTCGAACTATCGCCTACAACGCTGATGTTTAGAAAATGTTAGGTTATATTACTTTTATACGCGTGTAAATCCGCAGGCAAAAACTAGTAGTCAATATAATAATTGACAACCGTGTTGCATGCAATAGTTTCAATCACAACTACTCAATTACGTATTCATATGAGTAATGGATATTACATCACGAGTTTGTTTGAAGCGCGAGTCAATACCTGTTGAAAGAAAAATATGGATCTTTATCGTATTAGTTTGGGCACGTTTGAATATTATTTCATTGGATATTATTAGGTACACTTAAATGTAATGAAGTTATCTATGTATGATTTAGTTATTCCAAGATGTCACAGTAGCGTTTTTGTCACAATTTAAAGGGAGCGTTAGAATTGAGGATTCCGTTTTTTTATGTAATACGTCGGCAAACGAGCAGACTGATTACCTGAAAGTAAGCAATCAGCGCCGCACATGGACACCCGCAACGGAGGAGTTACGAGTGCGTTGCC